AATATTTAATATTATAAATTTTAAATAAATAAAAAAATAATTATTTAAATAATATATAAAATTATATAAAAATATATTTAAAAAAATTGTCTCGAACCATTTTCTTAAAATAGACAAAAGACAAAATTATGATGTTTCATAAACAGAAAAAAAAAACATCCACGGGGACCAATGAAATCAACCCACTCAGTATTCAGTGACGCCAAAAATCCATTAATGAAAAATTAATTAAAAAAATTAATATCACGTAGTATTCAACTGCAAAATTCAAAATCCAGTCGGAGTCTCTTCAAACCGAAGCTAAAAATATTATTTCCCGTAGATTTTTGAGTCAAAGATTGCAAAATTAAATCAATTACACCTCAATTTCTCCAATTTTTCTTACAGATCTGAGTTTCATTGAGAATGAATCAATAGAAAATGTCGGAGAATCAAGATTTTACGGAGCCGCCGCAGGTTTTTCAGGATTCGGGAGCTGATGAAAATGGAAATCAAATTGGAGAGGATTCAAACGGACCGGTTAATTCTGAATATTCAATTGATCAGGTTCAGGTAGGCGAGCTTGCTAATTTATTGTTTGGATTTCGTTCGTGTTAGGAAATTGTTTGATTTTGATCCATTTTAGGGTTTTTTTTTTTTTTAATTTTTTTGGCGTTTGGGGGTTTTAACGGAGATTTGATGCAGGAACCGGTGTCTAGTTACATTGCTCATGTTGATAGCAAAGAAGATATGTTTCTCGATGCGTCTGATGAGTTGAAGGAAGCGGGAGCTGCTACTGAGCTGGAAAACGATGACGGGGGAGAGGGAAAGGAAGAGGCGGCAGCGGGACAGTTGGGTGGAATGAGTAATGGTGCGCAAGATGATGGTTACTTGGTGGCTGAGCTGGAACGGTTGCGTTTCTTGTTGGAACAGGCTGTGGGTGAGAAAGAGAGGATACAGGTATAACATACTGGGTCGGACTAGCATGCTATTGATATGTCTGTGCTTTGTATATGGGTAGTAATGCCTTTTGTTGATGCAGGGAGAGAGGGATGCTCTTGTGAGGGAAATTTATGTGAAGGACGACGAGATTGAAGGGCTCAATGCAAGGGTCATGGAGCTTTCAGTTTCCAGTGAGGTTGTAGAGAGAAATCAGCATGTTGAGGTTGTTGTGGAGAGGATTTTGTCTGCTCTTGGGTCAGTTTTTGGTCAAGGACTGCTGTTGGAGGATTCTGGTTATGGAAAGATTGATGTTCTGGAGAAAAGTTCGTTTCTTTTAATTGAGAAGTATCATATGTTCCTTCATGAAATAGAGCAACTTAGGCAGACTGTGTCAATGGCGGAGTCTGATTTTGGTTTGCAAGGGAACTTTGAGTCTGTATTCCCTGCTGTGAGGGATGGTTTCCTTGAGTTGCGAAGAAAGGAAGCTGAGCTGACTGAGAAAATTGTTCATTTAGAAGATGAAAACAGGAAACTGCTCGAACAAGTTCAAAATGAGAATGCAAAAGTCCAGAGGATGAATGCAGAGCTTGGAAAAACAAAAATGGAGCTTGAACATGAGATGACAAGGTGTGCTAATACCAAGGAAAAGCTTAGCTTGGCTGTGACAAAAGGAAAAGCATTGGTTCAGCAGAGGGACTCTCTGAAGCAGGCTCTAGCTGATAAAACAAGTGAGCTTGATAGATGCCTTGTTGAATTGCAAAACAAATCAAGTGCCCTGGAAGCAGCTGAACTCAGCAAGGAAGAGTTGGCCAAAAGTGAACATTTGGCTGCATCACTTCAAGAGGCACTCGATCAAAAGAGTTTGATTGTTGAGGCATTTGAATACATTCTTTCTCAGATTGATGTACCTGAGGAACTCCAATCGGTTGATATTGTGGGGAAAGCTAGATGGCTTGTTAATGAAAGAAATGAATTGAAGGGTGTTTCCTTGGTCTTTTATAAATTGAAAGATGCCATTTCTTCAATTGATATACCAGAAAGCATCTCCCAGTCTGACTTGGAATCTTGTTTAACTTGGCTTAAGGAATCATTTTATCAGGCCAGAGATGAAATAAATATGTTGCAAGATGAAATTTCTAGAACAAGGGAAGCTGCACATAATGAGATTGAACACCTGAGTGCATCACTTTTGGCTGAACTACAGGAGAAAGTTTATATTCAAAAGGAGTTAGATGACCTAGGATATAAATATAAAGAAATTGTTGAGAAGGCACAGCAGATATCACTGGAGAAGGACCGTTTAAGTGCTTCATTTTTGGCAGAATTACAAGAGAAGGATTACATTCAAAAAGAGTTAGAGGAGCTCTCAAGGAAATATGAAATGATAACCGAAAAGGAAAAACAAGTCTCATTGGAGAAAGAACAGATAGTTGGGATGTTAGTGGAGGGTTATGGAATAACAATGGAGGATCAAGGAGGGGCCTATGAGTCTTCCTCTAATCTGCCCATGCTAGTGGATAGATGCCTTGGTAAGATTAAAGAACAAATCAGTGCTTCTGTTAATGGAACTTGTCCCGATACCGAATTACTTGAAAGACTTCAAAGTCTCTTGTATGTAAGGGATCAGGAATTGATGCTCTGTAAGGAAATTCTGGACCAAGATATAATGGTAAGGTCACAGCTGAATGATAAGTCAAATGAGTTAAGAATGATATCTCAGGAACTTGTTATGCTGAAGGAGGAGAAGGATACTCTGCAGAAAGATCTTGAGCGATCTGAGGAGAAATCTGCTGTTCTGAGGGAGAAGTTATCCATGGCAGTCAAGAAAGGAAAGGGATTGGTGCAAGATCGGGAAAATTTGAAATCTCTTCTTGATGAGAAGAAGTCTGAGATCGAAAATTTGAGGCTCGAACTACAGCAGCAAAAGTCTACAGTTACTGAGTGCAGGGATGAGATCAGTATATTGTCTAATGATTTAGAGCGCATCCCGAAGTTGGAGGCTGACCTTTCTACCATGAAAGATCAGCGGGACCAATTTGAGAAGTTCCTATCTGAGAGCAATAGCATGTTGCAGAGAGTAATGAAATCCATTGATCGCATTGTTCTTCCAATTGATTCATTTTTTGAAGAACCTGTAAAAAAAGTGGACTGGCTTGCTGGATACATTGGTAAATGTCAGAATGCAAAGACCCAGGCGGAAGATGAATTTAGGAGAGTTAAGGAAGAAGCTGATACTCTGGCAAGCAAATTAGCAGAAGCCCAAGCTACAATAAAATCCATGGAAGATGCATTGACTGTTGCTGAAAACAACACATCCCAATTTGCTGAAGAAAAGAGGGAGCTAGACCTTGGTAGAAAAAATATCGAACAAGAGTTGCAGAAAGCAATCGAAGAAGCTTATTCTCAAAGTAGTAAATTCACTGAGGCTACTGAGGCTAAAAATTCCCTTGAAAAGGCACTGTCACTGGCAGAAGATAAAATCTCTGTTCTTACCAGTGAGAAAGAAGAGGCTCAGGCTACCCAAGCTGCTTCGGAGATGGGGCTGGACAAAGTAAGAGAGGAACTTGCTACTCAGACCAGCAAACTAGCTGAGGCATATGATACCATAAGATCACTTGAAAATGCACTATCTCAGGCTGAGACCAATGTTGCTGTGCTAACCAAACAAAATGACAATGTGCATGTGGACAGAGCCAGTTTGGAAATGGAGCTAAAGGAGATGAAAGATGAAACTGATACCCTGGCTGGCAAACTTGCAGATGCCAGTGCAACTATAAAATCATTAGAAGATGCATTAGCAAAGGTAGAGAATGATTTTTCTGTACTTGAAATTGAAAAGAGAAGTGCTGAACAGGAGGTATCATTACTTAATTCCAAACTAAATACATGCATGGAAGAGCTAGCTGGAACCAGTGGCAGCTTAGCTAGCCGATCAGTTGAGCTAGGTGGTCACATTAATGATCTTCAAGGGATTCTGAAAGATGAAAGTTTGTTGTCTACAGTGAAACAATGCTTTGCTAGGAACTTGAATGGCCTGAAAAACTTGGATCTTACTATTAAAAACATAAGGGGGCATTTGCTTGACAGCTGTTCAGTAGGGCTGCTAAACCACTCAGTAGAGGTAATATCAACCTAAACTTTTCATTTTAATGTTTGTTGGGCATCAAATTCCTCTTTTTTTCCCTAGCTCTTCTGTATTGAGGTTTATAGGTGAAGAAATTTAATGAAAAGTTTAAAATTCTTTATTAGCTTTATAGCTAATTGTGAAGAGTGATTGTCTTATTTGCTCCTTTAACTTACTTCAGGAGACTGCACATGTGGCAAAATTTCTCTCATATGACCTTGACAGTATTGTGGATATCGAAGTGGACAGTGGTGATGTTAATGCAATTGATGGTGGTGATATTTCCTCATGTTTTGCAAAGACTGCTGAAGGCCTCCAGATGAGAGACAAAATTATTTCAGATAAGCTTGAAGATTTCTCTTCCTTTATAGAGGAGTCCGTAGCAGCTCTGTTGAAGGAGTTGCTGGCAATAGAGAATCAAATAGGAATGACAGTTGAGCAAGTGGAATCCTTGAAAGAGAGAGTGAAATGCATGGAAATGTGTGAACATGAAAAGGGGATGTTGAAAAATGATGTTGCTGCATTACTCTCTGCTTGTTCAGATGCCACTCAGATGATGCAGTTTGAAATCAAGAACAAACTTTTAGAACTTAGCTCTTTTCCTGAGCTTGAGAAATTGGACCGTGGTTTGCTTCCAGAAGTGGGAGAGTTTGGTAGAAATGACATGGCAGGGCAAGAAGATGATAGCAGCAACTGTTCAAAGATAGTAGAAAAATTGTTAGCCAGTACTGGTAGGGTACAAACTCTGGTGAAGCTGTTTGAATCTACAAGTGAAGTAGCTGCCTCTCTAATTCAAGATTTGCAGAAAGAATTAAAAGATACCAGAGCAGCTTCTGAAAAAACCGAAGAAGAGAGGGATCAATACCAAAGTAGGGTTTCCCAGTTAGAGAGGGATGTGGAAGCATTACACAATTCATTCAGAGAACTAAAGCTTAAACTAGAGGATTATGAAGCCAAAGAGGAAAAATGGAAGGAAAAAGAGATGGAACTTTCATCAGCCTACAATAGTAGGGTTTCCAAGTTAGAGAGTGAAGCGGAAGCATTACACAATTCATTCAGAGAACTAAAGCCTAAACTAGAGGATTATGAAGCCAAAGAGGAAAAATGGAAGGAAAAAGAGATGGAATTTTCATCAGCATACAATAGTAGGGTTTCCAAGTTAGAGAGTGAAGCGGAAGCATTACACAGTTCATGCAGAGAACTAAAGCTTAAACTTGAAGACTATGAAACCAAAGAGGAAAAATGGAAGGAAAAAGAGATGGAACTTTCATCAGCATACAATAGTAGGGTTTCCAAGTTAGAGAGTGAAGCGGAAGCATTACACAGTTCATACAGAGAACTAAAGCATAAACTAGAAGATTATGAAGCCAAAGAGGAAAAATGGAAGGAAAAAGAGATGGAACATTCATCAGCGTACAATAGTTTATTGATGAGAGAGCAAGGTAAGATATTTGTGCTGTTTGCATTTGTTATTACTTTTTACTCCCTTCCTCTAGTTGGTAATATGTTTTTGTTTTGTTATTACAGAAATAGAAGATCCTCTCCTATCTGCATCCGAAGTGAGAACTCTACTCGAAAAGATAAGTGAGATTCAAATCCCTTTTTCTGATGCAGAAGTTGAAGACCCTGAGCCCCATGGTTCAGTAAATGTGAAGAAGCTGTTTTACATTGTTGATAGTGTAACTGGGTTGTACCATCAAATAGACCTATTGTCTTGTGAGAAAGAAGATCTGCAATCTACCCTGTCAAGACAGATTCTTGAAATTGAGCATCTTAAAAGGGAAATTGGAATGAATATTGAAGATAAAGAAGAATTTGAAAAGATGAAAGGTGAATTGTTTGAACTTACATTTGGTTTGGAGAAGATTAATCATGTGTTAGGAGGTAAAGAATTTTCTGGAGACCAAAAATCTGCTGGTGTGAGGGGGCTTTTGCCAATAGTAGAAAAGCAGGTTATCGCCCTGCTGTTGGAAGCTGAAAGTTCAAAATCCAAAGCAGATGAACTTGGGACCAAGTTGCTTGGAAGCCAAAAGGTGGTAGATGAATTGTCAACTAGGATTAAGCTGCTAGAAGATTCACTTCAAGGCAGGACTGTTCAGCCAGAAATTGTTCAGCAAGAAATTGTTCAAGAAAGGAGCATCTTTGAAGCACCTTCTGCACCCTCGGGTTCAGAAATATCTGAAATTGAAGATGCAGTAAGTGCTCTTCATTTATGCATTTCTTCTATTATTATTGTTATTGGTAAATTTCAATCAATTGATGGTTTAACCAGATTTATTAATCTATACCTTTACAACCAGACCAAGACCTCATTGGTTATAACAGACTTCTTATTATTCCTTATCTCTAAGTTGAAGCACCTTTACTTGTTTTGGTGATTCTTAATTTCTGTTGAGACACAAGCTGTATGTTTTGATTGGCTGATTTAATTTTTCAAGTTACATTTCTACAACCACTTTTATGGCTTGGCTTGTAGTGAACTCAATAGAACATGTTCACTAATTATGTATCTATAATATAATGTAGGCCTGGCTCTTTGAGTGTAAATTTTTAAAGCTTCTCATGCTTCTTATATGCTTGTGTTGATTGGATTGTGTTCCTTATTCTGATATCTGCTCTGGCAGTTGTCCAGTTTCCTGGCATAATCTAAAAAAGTGCATGTTTAAATTCCAACCCAATCGTTTCTGATGCTTATGCAGGGTTCTCTTGGAAAGTCTACAATATCTCCAGTACCCTCAGCAGTGCAAGTGCGGACTCTGCGAAAAGGATCAACAGACCATCTAGCAATTAATGTTGATTCTGAATCTGATCATCTGATTAACAATGAGGAAATTGATGAGGACAAAGGTTGGCATTCTAGAGTTTGCTTGTTTTCCGAAATGGAAATGCTCAAATTCTGGAGAACTTATATACTTCTTCCATCTTTTTTTTGTGACGGCAGGTCATGTCTTTAAGTCTCTCAACGCATCTGGCCTCATTCCAAAACAAGGAAAGTTGATTGCAGATCGTGTTGATGGATTTTGGTAAAGTTTTCTTCTAAACTTAAACAAGAAATGCTTCCATGCTTTGGCTTTTTTTTTTTTTTTTTTTGGCAGGCGAGATCCTTGATACAGAAAGGAGATGTGATAAGCATTGTTGATCCATTTCTACTAGGACATCTCAAAATTGAGTCTATTTGGAGGATTGCTGAAGTAGCCATCCAATGTGTTGAAAGACATGGATATTCCCGCCCAAGGATGCAGGAAATAATTTTG